CTCTTCTTGTTTACTATCTCCCATACCTCCGCCTCCCTCCTTGCTCTCTCTACTTTTCTCTCCCATCTCTGGTTCTCTTCTTCCTTCTTCCTCTTACACAGCTCCCTAAATTCCTTCCTCTTTTCTTTGTAGGCGCTGCCCTCTCCTCTTTCTTTCCTTCAATCCCTTAATTTTCTTCTCGCCTCTTTTTTTCACTTCTTGACACTTCTTATCCCACCATTCCACCTTCCCCTTCTTACTACCCTCCAGCTTTTCCTCTACCCCTTTAATTGCCTCTGTTATTCTTGCTTCCATTTCTTCCCATTCCTTATTCAACTCTTCCCCTATTTCTTCCACCTCTCCTATTTTTTCGATAAACTTCTTTGCTTTTTCCTTGTTCCACACCCCCCTTTTTTTCCTCTTCCACCCTCTTCTTCTGCCTTCCTTCTCATTCCCTCTTTTTATTACTATTTCCAAGGGGTGATGATCCGAGTCCACTCTCCCCCACTATCATACTCTCTATCTTCTCTCTTTCTTCTCCTTCCCCTATTACATAGTCAATCACCGTATCTCCTCTTCTCTCCCTCCTCGTCTCCTCTCACATTTTCATTGAATATTTCCCATCCTTTCTCCTCTAAGCTATTTACCAGCAACCTCCCCTCTCTGTTTATCTTCTTATCCTTCGAACTTCTTCCCCCTTCCACTCGTCCTCCCTCCTCCTCTTCCTCTATCCTTCCTCCTTCTTTTTTTTCCATTATATGTCCTAACTCCTGTAAGTTTTTCTCCATCTCCTTTTTTTTGCATATATCCCTATAATACTCCAGTTCTCACCACCTATCCTAACCTTACCCGCTATCAACTCCTCCTTATCTATTTCTATTTCAGTTTCCTTCTCTTTTATCTCTTTCTTTATTCCCATTATCATCCCTCTTATTGCTTTCTTTTTTTTTATTCTTCTTCTTCGCCATTTGCATTCTTCATTCATATTTTTTCGGCAGCCTTCCCCTTATTCTTTTCCATCTCTTCTCTCCTATCCAAGTCTCCACCATGACTAACACGTCTTCTTTCTTCAGCCTTTCTCAGAAATCCTTATCTTTATTTTCCAAACCAGCTACGTTCCAGAATACCATCCTCCAGATTGACTTATTTCCCCCCTCCTCTTCTCTTCGCACTTCTGTATTACCATTCTCTGCGTCCTCCTTTTTAACCTCTTCTCCTCTTATTCCCTCGTCTCCATTTCTACTCCTCTCACTTCTTCTCCTTTCCTCCTCTCTCTCCTTCTTCTCTTCTTTCTCCTCTTTCCCCTCTCTCCCTCTTTCCTTTAATTCCTCCCTCCTCTCCTTCTCTTTTTCTGCTTTTTTTACATTTGTCCTGCCCGCTCCTTCTCCCTCTTCTACTCCCCCTGCTTTTGCTTTTCCTCCCTCTTGCCTTCTTCCTCTTTTCCTTTCCCTGCCTCCCAACACCTCCCTCTACTATCACAGAGCATGTCTCTTACCTCATCCCACACCCACCACTCTCCATCTATCCATATCTTTTCCTGCCCTATCCGTACTTTTTAACTTCTCTACTTGCCTTTCATGCAATTTGAATAATTCTCCTTCTTATCCTCTTTTCTTCCCATGTTAGATCTTTCTCAATCCAAGTACTTTCGTCTTTCAATTTCCACTTATTTCTCATTATTCTTGCCTTCTCTTCCTCACTCCCTACTTTTACCACTGCCATACCTCCCTTTTCCCTCCTTCCCGCATCTATTTTTCTTATTTTCTTTATCTTAACCTCCACTCCTATCTTTTTCATCACCTTCTCTATTTCCCCCTTTATTCCTCCCGTCTCCTCTTTTACTCCTTTTACTACCACATTTCTCTTTCTGTCTCCCCTCTCCTTCATTTCATACCTCCCTCCCAGCATTTCCACCCTCTCTTTCCAATCAGGCACTTCTCTTCCCTCCCCCTTCCCAGTCCTCCGCTTCCTTCTGCACCTTTTCCTTCTTCGTGCCCCCCCTCCTTAGACTCCATTCTCATCCCTTCCAGTTTTCGTTCCAAATCCTCTATTCTCTTCTTAAATTCCTCTCTCTCCTTGCTCCACTTCTCCTCGCGTTCTTAGCTCGTTCCTTATTTTCTCTACTTCCCTTCCTTGCTCCTTGAAACCTTCCCTTAACTCTTCTCTCATGCTCCTAAAACCCTCTCTTAATTCGCTAATATCTCCCTCATCTCTTTCTCCCCTACCTCCGTTTCCAAATTAGGCGACTTTGCCGTCATATTGCTTCTCTTGATAGTTATTCCCTTCTTTCCCCCCCCCCCACTCTTATCTAAATCATCCTTCTTCTTTTTCTAAAACTCTTCCAAAGTTCCCGAGCTCCCCGTGCTCCCCGTACTCCCTCTTCTACCTCTATCCTTTTCTTTTACTTTGTCTATCGCTTTCTTTATCTTCGTCCCGCTTTCTTTCTCTTCATACATCTCTGCCTACTCTGCGTCTCACTTCTCCCTCCTACCTGTACTCTAATCTATGCCCTGTTTCGCACCAAAGCTCGTACCTCCTTTCTCCTGCCGAGTCGCTCCTCTACACCGGCTATCGTTGATCGCGACCGCGCATTGTGTCGGATTTTTATTCGGGATGCAGCTCGTCGACGATGAGCGGGCTAGCGCAATATTGGCCCCCCCCCCTCCGTAATCAGGGTCTCTGTGAAGTTGGCACCTCACTTTCAAAAATCGAAAGTTTTATTAACAGTTCCATTTGCACCCGCAATAGTTCTACAGTTCCTGATAATTTTTAGAAAGAGTTCCGTTGATTTAGTTAAAAAAAATGAATTTTGAAAATATGAGGTGCTAACTTCCCGTAGCACCTCATGTTTCGAAAAAATTAATTTTAAACATGATATTTTATAGTTCTCGAAGAGTTCTACAGTTCCTGATAAGATTTAGCAATAGTTCCGGTCATTAAGTATTTTTAAACAAATTTTTAATCTGATCGCGAGCACCTCAAATTCCCAAAAAATTGATTTTTACCATGAGATTCTATAGTTCTCGAAGAGTTCTACAGTTCCTGATAGGTGTCAGCGACAGTTCCGCCTTTAATTATTTTTAAACAATTTTTCAATTTGACCGCCAGCACCTCATCTACGAGAAATACGGGGTGCTGACAATTCTGATCGTTTTCTTCAGAGTTCTCGGCAGTTCTCACATAGTTCCGAGCATTTAAATACGTTTTGACAAGAGAGTTCCAGCTATTTACTATTTTTAAACAATTTTAATTTGACCGCCATAGCACCTCATCTACGAGAAATACGGGGTGCTGACAATTTCAATTGTTTTCTTCAGAGTTCTCGGCAGTTCTCACATAGTTCTCAAGAGTTCCAAAGAACTCTGAAGAAAACGATCGGAATTGTCAGCACCCCGTATTTCTCGTAAATGAGGTGCTGGCGGTCAGATTAAAAAATTGTTTAAAAATAGTAAATAGCTGGAACTCTTGTCAAAACGTATTTAAATGCTCGGAACTATGTGAGAACTGCCGAGAACTCTGAAGAAAACGATCAGAATTGTCAGCACCCCGTATTTCTCGTAGATGAGGTGCTGGCGGTCAAATTGAAAAATCGTTTAAAAATAAATAAAGGCCGGAACTGTCGCTGACACGTATCAGGAACTGTAGAACTCTTCGAAAACTATAAAATCTCATGGTAAAAATCAATTTTTTTGGAATTTGAGGTGCTCGCGATCAGATTAAAAATTTGTTTAAAAATACTCAATGACCGGAACTATTGCTAAATCTTATCAGGAACTGTAGAACTCTTTGAGAACTATAAAATATGTTTAAAATTAATTTTTTCGAAACATGAAGTGCTACGGGAAGTTAGCACCTCATATTTTCAAAATTTATTTTTTTAAACTAAATCAACGGAACTTTCTAAAAATTATCAGGAACTGTAGAACTATTGCGGGTGCAAATGGAACTGTTGATAAAACTTTCGATTTTTGAAAGTGAGGTGCCAACTTCACAGAAACGTAATCAGGCTCGTAAAAGCGAGGTTTACGGCCGGCGAGCTTACGCAAAAACCCAATCATATCCGCATATAACGCGGCGGGAGAAAAATAGCGTCACGTAGCGAGCGCTCGGGTGTCGCATAAAATTCCGGATCGACGACAGGGATTTTTGTCCGATCGAGTGACTGAGTCGCGGATTTATGTTATAACTTAATGGTGACAACGAAGCAAGCATCGATGGCTCGCTCTTTATTGCTTTATTTTAATCAAGTGTTTCTGAGACGCGACGAGCGCGTGATTCATCTACACGCGTCGTTGTGCGATTATAAAATTGTTCTCAACAATTTCAAGCAGGGACCCGGACCGGATGAAAATATCGGTTCGATTCCGGTTTCGGTACATTAAAATACTTAAAAAAGTTTCGGTTTTTGTTTCGGTTTTCTAACTAACAAAAGTATCGGTATTGCGCAAATTACAATCTTTTCGGTTCCGGTTTATTAAAATTTTTTTATTTGAAATTTGTATTAAATTAAATTATTTACATATTATCAGCTTTTTATTTAACGATTTACTTTTAATACGTAATTAGGATAACAATTGTATCAATAATTATGTGCAAAGCATTAATGGACTTTAATTTAAAATTATAGATCTATTTTTTACATATATTTTGTATTTTTTTTTTTGACAGTAATTCTGAGTAATGAGGAGGGGAGGGAAGTGGCTGACCACTTTTATTTACATAAATTACAAAAATATTTTCTAAGCTCTAGAATTTATCCATTTCCGAGTCTATTCTTTTTAAGGATAGATATCATTAGGATAGCAATAGATTATAATATATGCGCAACTTACTCTTTTTCTTCATTAGCGGCGTTTTCGTATGCCACACAAGTTTCACAAATCCTTCTTATTAGGTACAAAGAAAGAAATATTAAATTCCTCGTTGAAAAGCCGTAGAAACATTGCGTAGCTTCCATAGGGTTTGTTTTTTTGTTTGCAGTTTGCTACATAATCTTTGCATTTCAAATTGTATGTACGGTGTCTGCATAAAAACTTCCTATATTTTTATATTTTTTTTAATACAAATTTTTTTACAGTGTTATTAATCAGGGTTATGTCCTTACTGTCATTAATAATTCGTTCTGCTGCGGAATATCTATTATTTGTTTTCGTGAAATATTTATCGCGTGCAATCTCGGCGCCGTGGCCCGACGAGAAAGGAAATTTAAATTTCCTTATTTTACTTATTTATTTCTTATATATACTCAGAAGATGTTCGAACGCCTCCAACATCACCTTCATCTTCAGTATATTTTACTTTTCTGTTATATATATGTATATATAAATATATATTATATCCGATAAAACACTGCAAGTTCGACACGCACGCGTATCAAGTAATAAATAAAATAAAAATCAATAGGAACAAGTTATACAGATTTTTCTGTGCAAAATAACAAGGGTAACACAGTCTAAAAAAAAAAATACTAACGATTAATATATAACTCAATAACAATATTCGAGATACACAACTCGCTACTGTGCGGCGATACTCTCTATATACCTTCCGTATATATAATACGGAAAGAGGTTGAAGATATTTATCAGCTCTCGAATATCAAATCCATGCCTTTGTTATTGCCGCAGCTAGGAAAGTCGATCGGTACAAGAGGTAAGTTTTGCCGGAGACCTACTCTCATTAAGAATTGCATTCCAGGTCCGAGTAGCGGAGGATACAGAGCTGTACTTCTCGCTTCCCACAGCCAATATCCTAATAAGGAGTCATGATCTCGGTTAAATCAGGCTCGCTACAGTAGATGTAGATGTAGCAGGTTCATCTCTATCTACGATATTTAACACATATTATATGTATATATAAAATGCTTTTACCTAAATTGTCGGTGTAGAAACGAAGAATGATGTAACCTTTATTCGGTACGACAAAAGTATCCTTTCGCACTGGATTCACAAGATTTCGACGTATCTTCCCATTTAGGTCCAAGGATATAATTTCATCTTTGGTTAGAGGTTGCTCGAAATTCTCTCGGCCAATAATACTGGCATTGTAACCATGTAAATGAAATGTATAGGACGCATTGCCTCCAAAGCCTAGGAAAGATACGGTTTTTGCTTATGTACTGGCTTTACTAATTTTAGTACTTGTAACTTTTTTAGTTAGCGCTTTTAACTTTTAAAGAGCGCAACAAGTTTCTTCTTTTATTTATATAGGATGTGTATTGCTCGTTGTATCGTGTTACGCTAAATTGTATATTCTAGCTTTCATTCAATATGACTATCTCGCAGGGGATGGGTTTATCTTTTTGGGTAACACGTACCTTTGTTTATTAATATAATTTCGATTGTTTTTCTCGGTGGAACTTGGAGCAATTGCAGACACTCGCAAAATAACGGTGTGTCGGCACATTCACTAGAAAGTTTATCGAGGGAGCAAACCGACTTCTCCAAGGTATTTTCTGGTTGCGATAATATCGGAGATGGCGGGTATTTGAAAGATACGCCATTAATCTGCGGTATTCTTATCGCGCCTTTCTTTAAGCCTGAAATTTTTCTCGATACATGATATGACAAAAATATTTTATTGCATGCATCTTTGAAAGAAAGAAATTATATGTTTCATTATGGGTGACAGCTGACACATGAACGATACGATCATATTTCTTAGTATTTTCTCTCTCTCTAGTTTTATCTCTCTTTTTTTGTACTTAACCATCTAAATCTAAACTCTAAACCTTATTATTATAACGTTATTTAACGAGTAGCCGTTTCATCTTTGACAAATATGACAATATTTTTCAATGATAAATTCATAAATGATAAATTAATTTTCTTACTCAAGTAAGCTGGATAATATCTCGATATATAAAAGTTGTAGGACGTGTCCGTCATTTCGTCCGTAAAAAACGAGAAAGTATTTACATCGAAGGGCACGTAGATCGTTTCATCTGCTTTTTCTTCTAATTGCGATAATTTCGTACTCTTCAGATCCAAAGAACAAATGACATTTTTCGATATTCTATGACAATCGTGACCACTTTCAGCAATTTTAAACGACTGTTCGTCCAAGTTGTCAGCATCTGTAGTCCTTATCGCATGCGAATCAAGTGTGGCATCTTTGTAAAAAATATATGCCTCTTGACGCAAATTGCGACATTCTCCAAGACCCTGAATATCGAGGGCATACTTGCCACGTGCCTGTACAGCCATTAGAATGCCATCGAGTCTTTCGCCTGAAAACAAATCCCATGTTTATTAAATAATTTATACAGTTCTATGCGTCTTATCTCGCAACGACGTAATATGATTGTTTGATTGATGCGAAAAATATTTCATCGAATGTAATCGACTACAACTATAATTCTATCAAAACGCAAATGACTAAGGCGAGCTTGAAAATCAAAGGGACCACTTTAATAGTATAACAGTAACATTAACTCTATAATTTTTATTGAACAAAAGTGTATAAATTTCAACATATATGTACACAACACACACACACACACACAAAATATAAGGTTTACCCAAAAATATATGTATACAAATAGGTTGTAAAGGATTATTTTTCGAAGAAAAAAAATGCCTGATCGTATCGACATCATCGACCAACAATAACAACAGTCACTGAATTTATATATCACTGATGAATTATTTTAAAGTCGCAGATTGGATTTACTTTCAATTTTTCGGAGTTAGTATTTAAATGTTAACTTAGTCACGCTCCTTATTAACATTTCCACTATAATATTAGAAGAAATTCATCTTTGAAGAAAGTTAATCGACAGGCGCTACGTGTGCATTTATTTTCATTTGCTTCGCAAGCATTTCAAGATTAATGGTAACATGTTGCGCTCTTTGTTAGGATTTTATGTATTTTAAATAATAGAACGTCGATATTACTAAATCGATATAAATATTATGATGTATGTTTAATTCACTAGTATAATTATTAACTTTCGTACTTATAGACAGTGAGAAGATGGTGTTTATCCAAGAGAAAAATTATGTATCGTGTTAGAGGCTAATACAAATCTGCAATCATCGCTATCAGATCCTCGATTATCCTCGGTTATCGTGCACATTTAATATCTTAGCACTAAGAAAGAGTAACTATATTTACTGATCTACGTCGAGTTATCGACGATTTGTATTGCGCTTTTAGGAATTCACAAATAGTTGTGTCATGTGTGTGTGTGTGTGTACACGGTTGCTTTGCAATATTATTATGGCGGTGATTATAAATAAAAAGTATCTCGTGTTCATTCGCATTTATATCTCATTGACGCAAGCACTTTTTTCAAAAGTAGAAAAAAATACAGAGGAAAAGAGATGCTTCTCCTGCTAATTAACCTGTATTATCTGCATTCTTTTTGCATTAGCGCTGCGTTCGAAATAATGTTAAGAATCATAGAGGATAATATCAGAAAAGTAAATTAATTTAATTTAATCAAACAATGCGATAGTCGAATTGTATAATATAAAGTCTAAATGGAATAGCTTGTTGATTTTTTTTCGAGTTGTTCTGTAGAACATGCACATACGCATAAACGCAAGTACAATAAAAACTGACGTTGTTTAGCTGAAAAAATAAACAATCGATTTATCGACACATTCTCGCGTTCAACTATTTGGGAAAAAATTGCCTATTATACAGTCTTAATCAAGTCAGTCTTTAAGAATTAAGCATTCGCGTCCGGCTGGTACACAGAGAGAACGGTTTCTTCTGTGTAATACGACGTGGGGACGTGCGATCATCCAAGTTGTGTCATGTTTGTTGGTATTCGCATTGGCCTTTAGTATTGTACACATATATTATCACGTTTGATTTCTCTAATCCTCTAAATCAAGAATATGTAATAATTTAAATAATATTTCATCTATCCGAACGAGTGAAAAAAAGTTGTTACAAATAAAACAGATGGAAGATGTATGGATATTTATTTCGCTGCGACACTCTGCTCGTAACGCACGCACTCGGTCGATCGATAGAACGATCTTTCGCGTCAAATTTATTCGTTTTCTTTTTGCCATTTTATTTGGCGAATCGACTTTTTCTTTTGTCATCGCGTTCTTCTACAATCGTTTCTTCGGAAAACTTGCTCGGACAAGAGCGAGCTATAGCTCGTTACAGCTCGTTACAGCTGGAGCATATGTAAATCGAGATCGATAGCGACGATGCGTCATGAATGAGACGACCTTATCGTAATGTCTTCCACGTCGGTTATTTACGTTGACTCGCGCTGACTGGTTCATTAGCGATGCGTTTGCGCGTAAATCCCGATCTCCGCCTCGAAGAGGATTTGGTTGATCCTGAGTTTGGCGACCGACCTCGAATACGAATCAGGAATTTCGGCGAGCTGCACGGCGATACTCTCGCCAAACTTGGTAAACTCCTCCTTTGTTTTTTTTTGTTCTTTCGCATCCGGTGCGCGAGGCTCGAGTTTCGTCTGTCCGGACTCGTCGAGATCGGCCGATGAACTGTCCTGACTCGGCAAAGAACCATTATACAGCTCCATTGCCTTCATCAGGCTGGACGACGAGGACTCTTCGGCGTCTTCGGCGTCTTCACTCAGCGAAGCGTTGAAGGAGCCGGTACCGGAGCCGTTTGTCTCTTCGTTGCAATCCATAAATGTTATACTTTCCGGATCGATGTCGCTCACAATATACTCTTCTTGTAGTTTCGGTTCCTCATTGACTTTCTGCGAAAAGGGATCAGGTTGGATCAGGAATTTTACCGGGCTCTGGTATAAGAGTGCGAAAAAGAACTTGACGCGGCGCACACTTTTCTCTTTTTCTTAGTCTCGCAATTACTTTCGATTAATATACAATCGAATTAGAAGCGTTCAATCGTATCGCGTTCGCACGACTCGATCCCAATCTCACGCCCTGATCTCCGAGAAAGACTCGAAAGACTCGTTGAAGCTTTTACGCGTATTGATTTTCTCTCTAACTATAATAAAACTTGGGAATCGCATCGCTATTACGATAGTCGCTACAGCACAGCAGAGCTGCACTGCATTTATAAAAGTGCTCGTATTTGATTCCTTGAGAAGATGGAGCGGTTTTCAAACTAAACGTCAAGTAGATGAATTATTTTTCAATTATTTATTATATGATATATATCTGTCTTTGTCGTCATCGTCTTTGTCATCCACATCGACGCGTATATAACCGCTCGTGCTATAGTCGTGCGTATATGCACGCGACGAAATATATGAACGACAACCGAATTATCAGAGGAGAGATCGAGTCGGCCATGGACAAAGATCTTAGATCGACTCGAATTTTTTCGCTGGAAAGCGGGCGATGAGACATCGCCACGCGTCGCCACGGGCCAATGGAATGTTTATCTCGACCAGCGACGCGTCGCGATCCTCGTTGGGACTCGTTGGCAGCCCGTCCAGCGAGTCGTCGTCGCCGCTGCCACTTGGAAATCACGATAGCTATATATGTATGTACACGTACAAAGGGATAGAATTCCCTTCGCGAATTAATTATTCCCCGTCGCAAAGCACTATTACACTTGAATAACTCCCAAGCCATTTATTTTCGAATATGATGCAGGTAACACGTTTTAAAAAATTATGCGAAATTGGTGCGAAATTTACGGGGTAACACGAGAAAAATTTAGCCAGTCAATTCGATGCAACGCGCGCGCGTTACATCGAATTCTATTTGTTTTAATTTTTCCACTTTATTTGTTTTTTTTTCATTAATCGGACGATAAATTCTGTCACTGTGCAAGCTTGTGTTAATCGTACATACGTCTACATATATTTTCGTAAAAGTAAAACAAAAAGTAAGCACGCTTGAAATTTGAACTGGGGAATAGTCGAAAGACTTGTTTATTAAATAAGTAAATTAAATTCTCTCCTATTGAACAGTCTCGAAATTGAGCAGACGCGTATCGCGTGTACTAGAAAATAATAACATAATCGTTGCGCGCGTATTTTTAAACAATTGGATTTTATTTGATCATTTGTCTCGCGCGTGATATAATTTTATACGGAAGGGCCCAAAGGGGTAGCGGGGGAGAGGTACTACGAGAACACAATAACGACCAAGTTTTCTCCGTCGTTACCGCTAGAGATCTCGAGTGATTATTTAGGAAACGAGACGCGAGGGCACGAGGAGGGTATTGGGTATTCCTCTCGGAGTCCGAAATTCCGCCTACCTTCTTCCGCTTGCTGTATCTACGCGTGCCGAATTGTAGGAACTGCATGGCTTTAAAGGCGAACCACTTGGAGACATATACGTCGTCCGGGCCGGTTGCGGCATCACGGCTGTTTTGTATCTTGTGAACCTCCCGAGAATACTGGCACTTGAGATTTGTAATCTTCTTCTCAACCTCGAGAGTGTTGCAGGAGAGAATTTCGGCCAGCTCCTGAATAGCTCGCTTGCGTTTCTGACGGTCCCGATAACCTCGGGCGTTCCAGTCCCAGAGGACTCGTCGTTGTTGATACTCGCGTAGCAGCTCCAGAGTCTTGTCACGGGTCCACTCCATGCCGACGCGCGTCCCGCTTGTGTCCAAACCGTCCCAAAGCCCGTGGTGGCTGTACATGTAAGAGATATACCTCAGGACGACAGGTCGCGCGGTTCGCGGTTCAGGTGTCTCGTAGAGCTCCCGAGGCGACCTGGCCTGGAGAGTGGAGGTCTGGAGGCGAAGATGCCACACCGCGCGCGCGAGCGAGCGAGCGGTGTGGCCGAACGGTCGGCCGACAACGGTCGACAATGGTGAACCGTGGTCGTCTCCTATCGTCCGCTAATAAATCACGAGCCGGAATCAACACGACGTAAGCCGCAGCCGCGAAACGAGCATGCGTTTTAATGATTTTTGCACGGGGCTCGCGCGCGCTCTTCGCCACTTTCCTTTCTGTTTCTTTCTTTATTTCTCTTTGCGGAAACTCTGGCGGGAGGACGAAGACGACCGAGTCTGCGCGAACGTTCGCCTGCCTGCATGCCAGCCTGCCTACCATGCCGCGTCTCACCATCCACATCGTTATCCGAGCCGAGTTAATGTCGTTGGGAGAGAGGGGGGGGGGGGGGGGAGAGAGAGAGAGAGAGAGAGAGAGAGAGAGAGAGAGAGAGAGAGAAAGAATATTTCCCTCTCTCGCTATTCTCGATGTCTCGTCTCGATACCACCATCCATCATCGCTCAGTCGCTCTACCGATCCTACCGATGTCGTCTAATATCGCTCTCTTCTCTTCCCCCTTTCTTTCTTGTCGCTCCGTTACATCTCAAACGCTAAAAGTCACGTTAAAATCAAATCGAGCACAGAACGTTCGACGATTATCACGAATATGTTTCGTCTCATTGTATAACGTGCAAACGATTCTCTCTCTTCTTCCATGCGATTTCCCTCCGTCCGATTATCCGGGGGTCTGAAGGTCTCTTTTGGAGCAGCAGGCACACGTGAAACACGAGGTTGAGGATAGTAGTCAGTAGTCACGTTGGAGTATGTGCAAGAGATTGATTGGAATCGGCGACACGGAAGTCGGGGACAAAGGTATGCGTGCATTCGGTTTCGAGCAGACTCTTCGTTTCTTCCTCTCGCGGCGCTCGTGAGGACGCTTCGTCTCTTTGTGCTTTGAGACGTCAGACGTCAGAATACCTTATATCGTATTCGTAAAATTATTACATGACTTTCATTATAGTTAGTAAGATTTAATGCAAATAAGTGTATACGCATTGATTTTTAAATCGCGCAATCAACGATTTAATAATACTTGTGATTCTCAAAACATCCTTCATATCAGGCAGTATATACAAATACAAGTTCTACCGATAGACCTGACACTTAATACTTTGAGCTCTAACGGAAGCATTCGTTTAGTTCAGCACGTGCTAATATATACAATATACGTGCGTTAAATATAGATACGTTGCTTTTGGCGTCCTTTTTTGCTTCTTGTCAGGGTGTATAAGCTCATTTGAAGATGTATCACTTGCGCAGTTGTATTCATTTGCGTGATATACTCGTATATATAATACTCAACTCAAGTATACAAGGCCATGAAAAAGATGAATAATTTACCAAACTTTTGCAGTATAAAATTAATTAGATTGGAACGCGCGCGAGACTAGTTTTGATACTGATTGTGAGTGTATTAAAGATGTGTGTGTGTGTGTGTGTGTGTGTGTGTGTGTGTGTGTGTGTGTGTGGATACGACTGCTGGAAAAGCAACGCGTAGCGTAGAGTAAAACGTACCTGGGAATAAAACGACATGCGTGCCCGTCATCGATTGTACAGGGTTGCCGTCAGCAGCAAGTATTCGAAGCGAATGTCCATGGGCGGATAATAAAATGGGACAATCGTGAGCGTTTGCATTAATGAGGCGTAGTAAATAGCGAGATCCATGCTTCACCCGCACGACTACTTGCCGCGCCTATAAAAAAATGTCAAATACGTTTTAAGTCGGAACCTCTCGATCATCGGGCGTTTATCCCTCTTCTCGCTCCAAGCTACATATATAATAATATTACAAGCCCGACCATATTTATTACAAATATTACAATATGCCATACCGATTTACCGATACCACCGGCGCGCGCCGCGGCCGCGGCACCGCGATGCACAACAATCGACTCGACTCGACTCGACTCGCGGCCTTGGGCCTCGGAGTGCTATCTCCTATACACGAGAGACGAGAGACGAGATGGAAGCTGTGTTAGCTGTTATACCTGGCCGTTGACGAGAAGCTCGGCCGGCGTAGGTGGAGTGGAAAGGCTCGCGTGTCGCGTCAGGGGAGTCGGTGGCCTTGATGACAGGAGAAGCGTCCTTTCCAGACTGAGATCCTCGTCCTCGTCCTCGTCCTCGACGTCCTTGTCCCGCGCCCATGGTCCTCGAACTGTCAACGACCCGTACACCCCGTCACCCTGCTGCGAGACTAATGGTCCCCCTCGATTTTATTACTCTCACTCACTGGCGACTTGGCGACTGCGACTGCGACTGCGACTGCGACTGCGACGGTTCTACACGACTCGCGACTCGTCTTGGTCGCTCGCTTCGGATCGAGGCGCGAATTACGCGAAGGCGAAGGCGCTTTCGTGGAAATAGTAATAGCACGGGGTAACGGACTGGCTTAATTTTCGTTTTCCAATTAGAAGGAAGGCCGCTCCGCGGCACGGCGCGTGTACCGAGCTCGCGTCTCGTGTATGCCATTTTGGAGTTTGGACGCGCGAATATTTCGGACAATATACTTGGCGCGATCTTTATTTGCTTCGTTCGCGAAAGAAACAGCGCCGATTCTTGGTCCGACCGCGGGGCCGAGGCCGCGGGCGCGGACGTTATTGATCTTGCTTCTCTTGATGCGCGCGAGCGCCGGCCGCGGCCGCAGCGGCCGCGCAGCGCCGGTTAGGGATAGAAAGACGTATGTATGTACTATTGTACCTATTATGTACATACATACGTTCTACTTCTACGCGTCGGTGCAGACCGGAGTAGACGACCAGAGTGAAAATCGGGCGAAGAGGAAAGACGAAGAGGAACGTGCGATAATCGGCAATCGGCAATCGGCATCCACGTACCTGAATGAGCGTGATAAAAGTACGTTCCCGCGCTCTCGGGGGTTATCTTGTAACGAAAACCACCGAAGGGTAAAATAGGACACTGCGTTATCATGGGCACCCCGTCCATATAATTGGAATCCTTTTGCCGGATTCCGTGCCAATGGAGAGCCAACTCGTCGCTTCCGAACTTGTTATAAACGAGAACCTCTATTGTGTCACCGAGACATACCTATATGATACACAATATGTATAACCATAAAAATATATTTCGCTTTCAAGAGATCTCTTCTGGCCCTTCTCGCGACTCGCGACGTGACACGCTGACACGCGACACCTCGACCGACGGCATTTATGGTCTCATCCATGGTGGATTTCCACCATGGTCTCATCGCACTTACGTCTCTCTCGCGAGAAGTGAGAAGCGATCACACACACAAACGTGTTTCAATATAGTATACATCTTTTTCGTAATTTTCCTACCTGAAGAAAATTAGAAAATCATACTCACTTGTATAGCCGGCCCCGGACTTTTTCCGTTAATAGCCAAAAGGCTCCTTCCCGCGCCCGCGCCCGCGGCGGTAGTGTTCGTGCACTCGCGAGAGATTTCGTCGTTGGCGTCGTTGTTCTCGTTGAATTCCTTGCAGAAACTGCCAATTGCCAATTATATGTATATGTTAAGAGCGCATTATAACGACACCCTACACAGTCGCTTACGCTTACGCAGTCTCGAGTCTCGAGTCTCGAGTCTCGCTTGCACGAAAGTCTCTATTATATATACTTATTCGGTATTCCTCTTTTCGTTTTTTCGACAAGACGATTCGAGCGAACGTGCGTTGAAACTCGAATCTGAACTTTGCCGAGTCAAGTCCGGTTAGTCCGCTCAGTCCGCTGGCTACACTACACCGATTATACGTGCATGATTACGCGCGATAGTGGTCGGTTCGAGCAGATTCGAGCGGTACCTGTTATGGAACCTGTTGCACAAGCACGAGCGTGCGCAATCAGCTACCAGTGGAATGTATGCCGCGACCCGCGACCCGTAACCCGCGACCGTGAATATCAACCGTTAGAACACCGCATGCTAATATTGCCAATCCGCGAACGCGCCACTTTTTTCCTTCCTTATAATTCTTTCCTTTTTATATCGCGCATTTCTTAGCGCCTAGCTCGCGCGCCTAAAATTCAAGGCGCTTATCCTTACCTCATTTTACCTTACACGCACCCTTACAAACGATCCCTGTCCTTCTCTCGCGTAACCACGTTACAGCGGTATTACCGAATATAATTTACAAATAACTTACAAATAGATTAAAGATATCTTTGTTTTGTAAAAGAAGAAAAACTTGTAACTTTTGTTTATCTTACCTTCTTGCACCTTTGTGCGATTCCGTGACAAAGAAATGATAGACGCACGTTTTTTTCCAAGATGGTTCCTCGGAGCAAGGACGCGCACATTCGTGATAACCATCTATTTTAATGAGAAAATCACTTACACGTAGTCCACGAGTGAGACGTTGCGCATTTATATTGAATAATTTTATGAAAATAATCGTTAATCATAATTAATTAATTTACATCAAATGGTTAATGGTCCCTAAGTTAAATTTTATCAAGTTAAACACGTATAATCTCGTAAGGGAGCAATGACATTAATAAACCGGTAAACTTATCAGGTTTCTCTCTTGAAAGTACAGATCGCTCGTGTAGCTTTTGAGCTACAGGAAAAATCAGGAAATATATACTTGGTGATACGATAAAAGGCTTGACTCACCCAATGTCTCGAGACACAGAGCCGAAATTGAATAGGAAACAAATATCACAACTATGCGATAGCGAAGGCACGACATAGTGGCCCAGAATATCTGGGTTGATCCAACACAAACACGTACATAAGTTTCAGCGATATTACGCGAATCTAAGCCGACGACCAACGACCGACGACAGACTCGAGTGAACGCTTCGCTAACGGCTTCTTACTTGGACTTGGAGGATGTGAGTATGGAATAAGTAGGTGAAAGCAAGGCCTAGGCTACGCTACAAAGTAGTACAATTCGAGGAAAGGCTTCTGCTTCTTACTTCTCTTTTCACAAAGGTGCATTCGCATTATGTAACGCTCGAGCATAAACTGCTTTATCGCACACACATTTAATCATTCGACAAATATCAAACAATATTAACAAATTTAGAAACGAAGAGAGATGAGAGAGAACCTTTCTTTTTCTCTTTAGAAAGTCAAAAAAGTTGATAAAGATTAATAAAATGGTAAATAAAAACAGAGTTCTTGATAAAAGAAAAATGTTTTTGTTTAAAAAAAATTGAAAGTCTGATTTCAAGACAGAATAGTTCTAAGTTATAGCTCATTTGATTCCTTTCGAAAAGTTCTAGGCCGGTATTCATAATCAGATCTTATTTCAAGATCGTCTTAAGTAATATCTTAAGATGCTAATACGGCTCTGTGATTGGTTAGTGACATCTTAAGATTGTACTTAAGATGGTCTTAAATATAAGAACCGACTATGAATACCGGCC